TTACTGTTTGAGCTTCTAAGTCATTGCCTGTCATGTTTAATCATGTCCTGCCATATGCCTTGATTAATGATAAAGACATCTTAACAAATTAGATTTAACAATATTCATATATATACTTATGTATATATTGTATGCAGTGTACGTCTTTGCCATTTCCTTTGCTATATTTTAAAGGGTCTTATTTTTTATATACAGTACAAGACACATGCATGGATACATTTAGATTATAATATGAACGCATGTAACTTAAATGATAATTAGTATATATATATAACTTATATACAAGGGATGTGCCATATAATTTGGATTCTAGACATATGCGGTGCTTATCTCTTGGGCCAAAGGAAACTTCCTTTCTGCTATAACATAATCCTCATATTGACTTGTCCCACGGCCATGTGGACACATATGTATAATGTTGGTTGTTAAAGAAAAGAATATATATATATATATATATATATATACATATACATATATATATATATATATAGAGAGAGAGAGAGAGAGAGAGAGAGATGAGATTTATTAAAATTAAAAAATAAAATGAATAAATTTAAGTGATTATTGGGAGATCAACATGGAAAATCTTGTTGTCAAATGGTCTGAAATCATAGTGTCATAACAATAGTGAGACATGACCAATTGGGTCATCATGGAGAGGTTGATGAAACTAAGATGTGTCAAGTCTCTAAGACCAAATATATAATTATTTTAACGATGCACGTATATATAGATGTGTTGAATATATGGAATGGATGTACATGGTTAACCCATGAGGCATGATGTTGATCCCCCAACCCACGCTTGGTTTGCACATGGTGTGCCGCCAATTAGGCGTGTTGGGGGTGGGCTCTCACACAGTCTATGCACGTACGTGTGGATAATAAACTCATATTTCTATAAACAAAGGAAAAAAAAACACACACACACAAAACAAAAAGCGGGACGGAATTAATGTTTGGTTAAACCAGCTCAAACAATATCAAAATGATAAAGTTGGGAGGTCATCATGGACGTGATAAATTCTTGTGAATTTGCATTTGAATGCAGTGAGTTTATTGCATCAAACGATCAGTATTAATACTGTGTTTTCTGCACACATGAGATTTCAATATTTTACTTCAAATTGAAAAATATGTTTTCATTTCGAGATCTAAATTTGAGTTTGAAAAATATTACTTATTACGATTATGTAAAAACTACTTGATATGTAAAGAATATACTTCAACTTGTGGTTGGTTTAAATTGTTGATTTCCCAATCCTAGCACTTGTAAACTTATTAACTCAAAAGAAATTTATACATCCAAAAATTATCAAAATATATATTTGTATGCTAACTGAAGTTAGAACATATAATAGTCACATTAAGAAAATCAGGTTACTATGTATCTAATAGTTTACGAGCACTATACTTTTTCCTAATTAAAATTTTTTATATCTGCACATAGAAGATAATTTGTAAATTCAAAAACAAAATTATAATGAAAAATTTTCATTCCACTCAAAAGACCCTACAAATTGAACTGTTCACAGCAATGTCCTAACATTCCGGCGAACGAGGGACACAGAAACTTGACTTCCTGTCGCTCAAATCGTCAACTCTTCATTCTTGATGTTGCTTGTTATCTGTCCATGGTGGTGAAACAAAAGTATACCCACGTATGCATATTCTTCTCTGATCTGCTTCGCTACTCAATATTTTCCTGTCAATACTCAAAACTATCTACTCACGTCCTCTCAAAACCCAACCGAAAAGACCACAAAGCAAGCAGCTTTCTTGTTTACTGCAATTCTCAGATTACTAAAAACGGAAGAAATGGCAATATTGAAGAAGCCGAGTCTATATTTAACCGAATGTCTTCTAGAAATACAATCTCTTGGACTGCTATGCTCACGGCGTATGCAGAAAATGGTAAAATTACGAAAGCAAGGAAACTGTTCGACGAAATGCCTGACAGAACAACTGCTTCTTATAATGCCATGATAACGGGATATATTAGAAACAACCGTAATGTGGATGAAGCTTATGGATTGTTTTGTGAGCTAATTGAGAAGAACCCGGTTTCTTTTGCGGCAATGATCACGGGTTTTGTTCAGGCAAAGATGTTTGATAAAGCGAAGGATTTGTATGCTGAAATGCCGGCTGATTGGCGGGACCCGGTTTGTTCCAATGCTTTGATAAGTGGATACTTGAAAATGGGAAGATTGGAAGATGCAGTTCGAGTTTTCGACCATATGGTGGAGAGAGATGTGGTTTCTTGGACCTCTATGGTTGATGGGTATTGCAAGATAGGAAGAATTGTTGATGCTAGTGGTTTGTTTAGGAGAATGCCGGAGAGAAATGTGGTTACTTGGACGGCGATGATAAATGGGTATTTTAAGGTGGGATTTTTTGAAAATGGGTTTGGCTTATTTCTTAGTATGAGACAGGAAGGATTAGTGCGTGTTAATTCTACTACCTTGACTGTAATGTTTGATGCTTGTGGCAATTTTGGCAGATTTCGCGAGGGGATTCAGGTGCATGCACTGGTTGTCCGCATGGGATATGAACAAGATTTATTTCTTCGGAATTCTATCATTACCATGTATTGCAGATTTGGTTGTACCAATGTGGCCAAGGTATTTTTTCAAATGATGTGCATCAGAGATGTTATTTCTTGGAATTCCTTGATTGCTGGTTATATCCAATGTCATGAAATTGAAGAAGCTTATGAACTTTTTCAGAAGATGCCCAGAAAAGATATAGTTTCTTGGACAACCATGATCACCGGATTCTCTAGATTAGGAAATGTTGACAGATGCATCGAGCTGTTTGGGATGATGCCTGAGAAAGATGATATTGCATGGACTGCTGTAATTTCTGGGCTTGTAAGCAATGAGGAGCAGGAGGTCGCATTTCACTGGTTCATTGAGATGCTTCGGAAGGCAGTTAGGCCAAATCCTGTTACTTTCAGCATTTTGCTCAGTGCTTCAGCTGGTTTGGCAACCTTAAGCCTTGGGCAACAGATCCAGGCTCAAGTATTAAAGATAGATATGGAATTTGAAGTGTCCATTCAGAATTCACTTGTCTCATTGTATTCAAAGTGTGGAAATGTGGATGACGCTTACCAGGTATTTACAAGTATTATTGAGCCCAATGTTGTTTCTTTTAACTCGATGATTTCTGGGTTTGCTCAAAATGGACTTGGGAAAGAAGCTCTCAACTTATTTGCAAAAATGGAGAATGAAGGGCAGGATCCCAACGAGGTAACATTTCTTGCTGTTCTATCGGCTTGTACTCATGTCGGATTAGTAGAGGTAGGATGGAAACAATTTAAATCAATGAAATCTTCATATGGCATAGAACCAGGGCCCGATCACTATGCATGCATGGTTGATCTCCTTGGTCGAGCTGGATTTCTGGATGAAGCAACTGATCTGATCTCTTCAATGCCTTTTAAATCTCATCCTGGGGTTTGGGGAGCCCTTCTTGGAGCTAGCAAGACTCATTTCCGTCTTGACCTTGCAGAGCTTGCAGCTCAGAAGCTTATGGAGTTGGAGCCTGATAGTGCAACCCCATATGTGGTCTTGTCCCACTTGTATTCTGTTGTTGGAAAAAAGAAGGATGGTGATCAACTAAGGAATGCAAAGAAATCCAGGGGCATAAGGAAGAGCCCGGGATGCAGTTGGATTGTTTTGAAGGACAAAGTTCATCTGTTTCTTGCAGGTGATCAATCTCATATGTATTTAGAAGAGACTAAACTTATACTGCAAACAATTGCAAATGAGCTAGAAGAAGAGCTGGATGTGTAATATTTGTAAGTTTCTTGATAAAAAGTCGCAGAAATCTCTCTGGTTGTGATAAGCTCAACCATCAGGATTCAAACTGGAAGAATTTTCTTCCAAAGTTTTGCGATCATAATTTCATGCTTGACCATACACGAAATACAGGTATCACGAGAGAAGGCCATTAGCACCTTTACTTGGATGAGAGGAGAATGCTTGCTTTTCCTGCAATTTTGGACCTTACGAAAACTTCTGATTTGATGTACAGATTAGTAGGGAGACAAACTGGGAAAAGAGTATTTTTCGTCCTTGCTGAAGCATTTATGTGTAGTGGGTGGAGCTCACTTCCTAAATCTGCCTTTCTTTTCTTCTCTTTACTGCTAGAGTCAACACTTGCTCTACCAGTGATTCCAGCTCCGTATCTCCACTATTAAAATTGTCAAAATTGCTTCCTCCGTCACGGATTTGCAAGCAGCACTAGCTAGAGGTAGTAAATCCACCAAGCTTACCTATTTACCATGTTTTTCAGCATTTTCCCACATGTTTTCCTCAATCAACTACATATGTTATTCGATGAAGAAAAGTGGTAGATATCCGTTAACAATCGTGAGATAGCAAGCGGTCCTAGATGCTTTTATCATTGAAGTAAATGTGAATCTTTATGGTATTCACGTATGAGAAGTATAAAGATATCTTTTGTGAAATATGGAAAACTTTATGATGATTTGGATACAATGTTGCTGTTTTCTCAGGTTCAGGCAGGCACCACAATAGAAGCGCCCTTGGATTTCAGCTATTGAATCAATTTGGTCCTTGTCTTTTTCCTTTTTATATATTTGTATACACATTAAAACATATATCTATATATAAGATCATATATTTATTGTCTCCTCAAAGTTGTCCCTCATACTTTCAATTGAATCAACTTATGCCTTGTAATAACATTGTTTATTTTCAACTGTTATTAGTTCGAAGGCAAAGCAAAATAAAAAATACAAAGAGGAACACGGAGATGAGCGACATGAAGTACATAATATAGTAATATACAGACATTATACATATATATAGATAGATATATGCATGTGGCGGAGAACTTGGCCAAGTCATGCATTAGCTCTCCACCTCAGTCTGCACATCCTCCTCCGCAACCTCCACAACCTCCGCAGCCACCACAACCGCCACCACCTCTTCCATGTTCTTCATTACCACCGCCTGTACCACTGTTACCCCCATCCTTAGTAGCTTTAGGAGCTGGTGTTTCTGTTTGAGCTCCAGCTTCAGACAATATAATAATCCCACCATCTCTACTACCACTCTGCTTATTACTGCCTTGTTTAGTCTCGCCAATTTCAAGGTCACGAGTAACATAACTTTGTTTCAACACCACTGTTCGAATCGTTTTTGGTTGATTTTGCTTCCCTTTACGGCTGCCTCTTATGCACTTGCAGAGGCAACATAAGATGACAATGGCTGCAGCCACAGACCCACAGACTATAAGGACAATTGCATATGCTTTCATTGTGTTTATATATTACATATATATGTAAGTATATATATTGTTTTTTCTTGAAGCTCCTCAGAGCTGAATTCCCCTGGTGCTGCCCCTTCTCTATTTATTATATGTATGTACGTTGATTTCGTAAATTATATATTCTGTGAAAAATAAATATTTTGTAAGTTCACAGGTTATTTTCCGTAGACTTATGGGAAACATGAAGAAAGTTTCCATGTTTAGTTGACTTTGAATCTGCACAAGGAATTTTTCCGTTGCATCATTATTTCTTATCTCTTGTGAGACGAGCCATTTTCATTAACAATATTATAATATGTTTATACGTATATATATAAAGATATATATATTTGAAGTATATATTATCCAACCATTAAGAACTATAAACCTTTATCATTCTTGGTATATAGGTTATATTTAAATTTTTTTAAAAAATAAAGTTTATATACATATACATATAATTTAAAATATAAATTATCAAATGATTCAAGAATTACAAACATTTATCACCTTCCGTATATGGGTTGCGATTAAAATTAAAAAAGAAAAACCTTATAGACATATACATATACAAATTTGAAGTATAAATTATCCAGTCATTTAAGAATTAAAAATTTTTATCACTCTCCATATATGGGCTAGGATTAAATTAAAAAAAAAACCCAGAACTTTACAGAGATATGCATATATAAAATTGAAGTATAAATTATCCAATCTTCAAAAATTTAAAATTTTATCACTATCCATATCCAGGTTAGATCAAACTTTTTTTTTTAAAAATGAACTTTATATACATATACATATGTATATTTGAAGTATAGATTGTCACGTTCCGACACTCGATATGAGGCGTAATTTATATTCAAGTCATTTCATGCAGTGAACCCATGAAATATATACATACATTAATAAAAAAAAATATAATATAAGGTAACATCTCATGTGATATGTACAGTAACTATATATACAAAACATGATATCAGAATTTATAGTATAACAGAACAAACTAAAACTTTTCGAATATACACAAAATATACAAAAACGAGAACCATTTTATAGGTTCTACTCGTTTCGCAACAATGCTGGTTCTTCATTCTTTTCTGAAAAATATCATAATGAAATTTAATGAACTTCACCAACTCAATAAGTATTCTCGTTCTTTCAATCCAGATAAAATTTCATGCAAAATACACAGTAAGAAACAAAAGTAATAAAAATATTTTAGTACAAGTTTATGTTCTTATTTTTACTATTTCATATGTTCTTGATCGATCTGATGAATTCTCTCGAATATCATATACAAATATCAAATGTATATTCTCATACTCTCGAAAGTTATAAATATACTTGAATATCAATTGTCATTTCGAAATATAATCATACACACAAAATATCATAGATACACTCGAATATCGTTCATAATCTCGAAACATAATCACACACATACAAAAGGTTACAGATACACTCGAACGATCATTTTTATGATTTCATCACGCGATGCTGTTTATGTCATCATCGAGAAAATGAAAAATAGATCCCTCTATCGTATAGATAGTACACACACAAATCACACAATGGCCACAACAGGTACGTTTACTAGGTGGCCCATACTCACATGAATGTTTATCCACGTCTAGATTAGGTTTCAAACTCTATCCATGTACAGTTTCACCATGTCCGCTAAACATCAGCCACACACACACACCCCTCCTCGATTCAGACTAAACGAGAAGGTATTCAAGGCCCTTACCCTATTCACTCCTACTCTCTCATTCCAAAATTCTTAGTTTGTTTAAATAATCATTTCTTAACCTCAATTATTTTTTTTCCTTTCTGTTTTTACATTTTTTTTTCCTTTCTGTTTTTACATTTTTATTTCATTTCTTTTTCTTTTTCAATTTTTCCTTAATTGGGACTTTTTCCTTTCAATTTCATATTTCACCAGTCCAAATAACTCTTAGTCCGTTGGATATATTTTTTGGTTTTGTCTCCGCATAGGGTTTCAATTGTCTAGGTTTACTAATCATAATTTGTGTTCTGGTTTTTCATCAAAATTGGGCCAATGTCCCTTCAAATTTCAAAATTCATAATTTTTATAAAATGAATGCACTTCTCAAAATTTAACCCGGTTAAAATTTAGAAATACTTACTCCCTCACACATCTTTCTGGATTTGTCTGAATGTTCAAATCTTTCTATACACACGATATAATTAATTAAAATAGTTTGAAATATTAAAAATTAATTTAATTAAATTATAGGTTCCAACAATTACCCAACAAAATACCCAAATCTATCGGGATCCGTACCCGAAAAACCTTTTGGCTCTCCATTTGGCGAATCAGATTCTCGTTTTTTGAGAAAGATTTTTCAACTTCTCAGACAGCAAACCAAATTTCTGTTTTCCAAGGAAGACTTTTCAGCTTCTCAGCCGACAAATCAAAACCCAAAATGGTGGATCGAGTTCCCATGCTTGGGGAAGATCCTCGACTTCCCAAATGGGTCAGCTTTCCCCATTCTTAGGAAGCCTCCTCAATTCTCGCATGGGGTGGGTGGCCTTGCCAAGTTCGCGTGCCAGCCCGATACTAGCCCCGCCACACTGACGCTCAACCACAACCAAAGCACAAAAACAGGACGGGTTTACCTTTTGGCGTGGGGCGATTTGGGCCTCGACTTGG